TTTTTTTTTTTTTTTTTTTTAGTTTCTACCGGGTGTGTTCATTATATTCACTCGGTGTTCTTGAATTCTCGCGCGTCTATCTTATCTCGATGTTTCCTCGTTAATTTCGTTTTTATCTATTTCGACCTCTCTTTTTTTTTTTTTTAGAAACAATAGTTTTGATTAGACGAACTGTGAACTTCTATTCAATTTCCTTTATCTATGGAATGTATCACTATTTGGAAGATTAGTCACGAATCCCCGCCATCTGATCACGATGAACTGTAGCTCAATGTATCTCATGAATTATTTTCTCGATATTTTTTTCGTAAGAATTTCGACTTAAAAATAATAAAATTATATTGAACAATAAATATTAATGTTGTCTTGTAATAACTTCTCCGCGTATGCAGAGACGTGAGCCGAAAAGAAACGGGAAATTCGCGAAGAGAGCATTCGGTTCATCGTACCAAGAACGGTGGTCGTAGCTGACCGTGATTATTTCATGTGCAACTTGAATTCGGCGACACAGCACATTCTGTGGAACTAAAACTCAATAAATATGCTCGAATTGAGGAAATGTGCTTTATCGCCGCGCGAACACATATACACTATTCACATGACATCTCATTCTTTCTCTTCGATTCATTCGTCTCACTTTTTCACTAATATTCACCTTTCTTTCGTTTCTTCAAACTTTCTATCTTTTTCTAACTTTTTATTTTTCTTTTCTTTCTCTCCCCCTCATTCGCTCTTAACTCACATACCATCATCATCAATTACTATTATCTCATTATATTTGTTTATATTCATATATTATATATACATATATAATATATGTAATATATAATATATTCACCTATATCGTAGGGCTCTTATATTTTAATCGGCTAAAGTTTGCGAACTTATCGTCCTCAATTTTCTTCTAACTCTTACATGTATCTGTGTATGTGTGTATGTGTATATGTTGCGTTTACGTAGCTGTATATGTTTTTATGTACAGTCAAGATTGTAATTTATTCTGTAGCAACACTAACACTGCGTTCTTAGGAAAGATTTCTTCATTCTCTCTTTCTCTTCCATTCTAACTCGCTCCGTCTCTTTTTCTTCTCATTATCAAACGCGATGCGAACCCTGCGAGACGTGGACCGATCGATCGGACCGAAACATTAGCCCGTCGTCGCAGGCAACGATGAATTCATCGTGAAATCGAATAATATATCTCATAATTGACTTTCTGTTAATTGTAGAATACGCGACGTCATTCGCGGTATCATTCGTTTAAATACGCTACTAGTTCTAGCAATTATCATTACCGTAATAATGTAATTAACCGTAAATTGAAATTCAGCGACGGTCGAATGCCGATTTGCTCGAGAAAACCAGCGGCCAAAAGTCTTTTCAATCGTTAATCCAAAGAATGGAACTAATTACTGGTTATTGTGTAACTAAAAATTACAAAATGATCGATCATGAATAGACGATTAACAGAGTGATTTCTTTTGTCTGTTTAACTGTTGATAATTCTCGATCGCGTATCGTTACATGAAAAATCAAGAGAAAAAAATTTTATTTTATCATTGGTCGTTTCGCGTGGAGTGCGCGTCGAAGTCATCGTGTAGCGTCGTCGACGCGTGCACTCGAGAGAGAAAGATCGATCGATCCTCATTCTGGAACGACCGTTTTAACTAAAAGAAAATACGGTGAGGAACGAAATAAAATATATACGAATGATCGAATACACGGCGACTAAATGTGTCATAATATGAAACGTTCGCGGAGCAACGAAACGAATATTACGGATCCCTCTTGATTTCCCACGCTGTCGACCGTCCACTGGTTTTATCTTGCTCTATTTACCTCTTGTCTCTGTTGCTTCTTCGCGTTATTATTTAAGAAATAAAATTTTACTAAAAGTGATTGCCTAGAAGAATAATCGCCAGCCGGAAGGTTAGCTGCCGAAAATACACTATGACCGGTTTCCATGCACGCGACGTCGAATCGGATGCCATCTGACGGACGAATTTTTAAACTCGCTCATCTCGCTTTAGCATCTATAAGCCGAACAACCGAAGAAATTTACTATACATATGTATAGTATCATATACACCACTATCATACGCGAGATTGACATTTTTTCCGATTCGACTAGATCAAATCACCCCGTGCGTTTGAAGTTATAGTCAATCGATGAACGGATCATTAGGACGCGCGTTTCAGGGAAACGTGATCGTCGCGGTTCGAGTGTTCGTCACAACACGGAAATCAATAATCTTATTCTCGTTGCCCCTTCACTTCATTTGGTTTACTTTCGACTAATTTATAGTCCATTCACCGCGGCTCTTATAATTCCTTTCTTACTATAGAAAGTAAGAAATGACACGATCAGATTCCACGAATCGGCGAGTTTGCTAACCTTTACTATTATTTATTTTTTTCTTCCTTTCAACGCGACGATTACGTCCCATCGTTATTCATCGATCTCGAGGAACTGTTAATCGAATCATCGGCACAGCACGCGACGAAGATTATAGCTGCACTGATACGAGGCGAGTCTGTTTATGGACGTTGTATCTGTTTTCGAAGGGGTGATCGATCCTAAAGCGTGAACGAATTATCGTTGTTATTTCATTTTCACTTTTTTTTCCTTTTTTTCTTTTTTACGTTTTAAACCGGTCTTTGAGTGAATAAAAATCCGATTTTCCGAATAGACCGCGATAGGCGTGGTCTTACAGAATATCGAGGTTGAAGCCCCCCGTGGAGTCAAGGGAATTCAGCAGTTCCTGAGCGCTGAAGTTCGACGTGTCTCCGGTCGGAAGATTCTCTAGAAATTCGAGGCTAAAGTCCGCCGCGGTTACGGATGGATCCGTGGTAGTAGTGACTGGCGGTTGCGCATGCTGCTGTTGCTGTTGTGGCAAACTGCGCACTCCTGGACTGCCAGCGCCGTATTGTTGATGCGGGTGTAGAGGGGAACCTGGAAGGAATTATGTTCAAACATGATTGATGACAACATAAGGATTTTGTGATATGTATAATGAGAGTGAATATAATAACATATTAGTAGAAAAGAGTAATACTTTTGTAGTCTAATAAAAAAAATGGAGAATGTAAATGATAATAAAAGAGATAGTTTAAAATGTTTGTATCATATTGAAATGGTATTCTATATATAATGAATATAATTAAGCATTTTTGATAGGAAAAATATACTATAAAAATATACTAATCTATTGTAATTATTGTAAAATTCTATTGTAATAATCGTAAGTATCGTAAGTAATTACTATATTTAAGATATACATAATAAAATATTAATTATTTATCAATGTTTTAATTGGGACAAGGAATTTTATTGACTGCTTTTATTCAGTTACATATATACTTGATTAAGAATCAGCGATATTAAAAAATTTAAATATAGAAATAACAGTAATAAAATATTATACGCAAATATCGATATATTATTAGAATACGATTAAAATCAAATATTTCTCAACGATAAAAATTCGATTCCTAAAAACATTATTAAAATGATTAATTACTTTATTGTGTATATGTTTCTTGATTATTACAAAATTATTAACAAATCACTAACACTATAATTATTATTTATATCTATTTTATAATTCATCATCTAAATTTTTGCAATCTTTCGCGGTAAATTTATTTAATTAAAATAAAATCATTTGAATAAATCATACTATCATTCATACTATCATCAATGTTATTAATATTAATATTAACTCATAAAATTATCTAGTTGATCGATCGACAAATGATCGAATTAAATTGAAATAACTTTTTTTTAACTCGTTATCTCTCGATTATTACTTTTCACTTTATGAGAATCAGGGAATGATCATCGTCCAAGACTCACCAGTTCCAGTACTGCTGACAGAGTTGACTGATGAGGACTGCGACATTTGCATCTGCAGTGACATCTGATTATTACTCTGCTGCATGGCTAATGTCTGCTGCTGGTGTTGCTGCGACAGTAGCTGCTGCATCTGAGTGCTGTTGGCCATACCGGAGCCGGCGATACCTCCACTCTGCGAGCGAATCAACTGTTGATGCTGCATTTGTGCGGCGTTCATCTGCATGCCACCCGTGCCACCCATACCGAATCCACCTGGAAGATAAGGATAAGTGAAACGATTTAACACAATTATTTATACGCTTATTTCATAATAACTAGTTAAAGAAAAACAATAATTCAATTTCCATTTGTCATAAACAAGTTTCTTACGTCTGAATTTTTAAACCATAATTAACCACATTCCTATTATATCTTTTCTAAGAAAAGATACAACTATAAATTTCATAAAATTTAACTCGCATTCTACGCAATATCATCAATGTCTCGTCGTAACATTCAACTAAAAATGGAAATAACATCCGTCTACGATCCTTTGAATATTCCATTTTCCGTGGAAATTAATTCTTAAAATCAAAGATAATCGAAGACCATTCGAACAAATCTAATAACTAACCAAACAACTTTAACTAAACGAAAAAAAAAAGATTTCCACTAATTATTGCTTAGAATTGCGATTCCTCGCGCGAAGTGCACGAGTATTATGAGTTACCAGGGAGAAGCTTACCTTGGTGACCTTGCTGATTAAATTGCGATCGCATTTGCGCCTGAAAGCCCTGCTGCTGCATGAGAACGTGTCGCCACTCCTGCTGCGCGCCACGGCCAGCGATGCTATTCCCAAGGCCATCGGGCGGGCCAACGCTGACGTTAGGCGGCCGTTGATTGTTGGTCCTAGGATATCCAAGACGCTGATGCATTTGATGCATGCCGCCAATCGCGGCCATACTACCACCGCCCATGTACATATTGCCACCGGCAGCGTGCAATGCCTGTTGTTGTTGCTGCGCCATTTGCGGCCTCATCATCGGACCTACGGTGAAAACAAAAGATAAAAAATTATATTGTTAATAATTTCAAAATTTACGAAGAATTTTTCTTTCTTTTTATTTTATTTTATTAAATTATTATTATTATATTTTATTAAATTATTAAATTGTTAAACAACATTGATTTCCATTTTGCTTATTACAATTTTATTTATTATCCGTTTTTCGAATTAAAAAAAAATTATAGAAGTAAATGCCATACGATTTTGTATTTATTGTCCGCGTCAAATGGAAAGGAAGAATATCTTTCTCGTTAGATTTAATTTATATGGAAAAATTTGATGCAAGTTTAACGGTTAAATCGAAACACACGATCGAATCGAAGAGGAGGAGAGTGATCGATCCCGGAGAGAAACGTCTCTTCATTCTGGCCCAGCCAGATACACGTAACGAAGATACACGTATTGCGATGGAAACGTGGAGCCTTAATGCTCTGTGGATTTTCGTTTGGATAGAATCTTATGAAAGTAGCTTCGAGCCGATCGATAGAGGGAACCTCGTACGTGTATAAGAATATTTACGATCCCCCTTTCTTCACCCCCATCTTCACTACTATCTCGTTCTTTTTAGCCTGGAGCAGAAAGATCAGATTCATTTTCCATGAATACTTATCTAATGGTGAAGTGTAAATGTTATTCGAATGGACGTTTCGGCCGTCCAATTAAATATTTTTCCGCCATTATTCACCGTTTGCTTTTTACGCATGCTTCCGTGTAATCGAAGTAATTCGATTGATCGGTTATTCGAGAGAAAGAAAAAAAATTGCGAATTTTTATTACGTTTTATTCCGATTTATATTTTTTTTTAATAGACGATCGCTAC